TAAATTTTTTTTATTTTTTTTTTTTTTTTATTTTTTTTTTTTGTTGGGTTTTGTGGGGGGGGGGGGGGGGGGGTGGGGTGTCGGGCCCGGGTCGGCTCGGTCTCCCCTTGAATCCGTCACTGATAACTTATCGCAGCAGCTTTGTTCCATATTCCTTTTGATTGTCGTCAGACAGACTGAATCTTAAATGCCATTGCAAGCTAGCTAGATTCAGTACAAACAGGGTTATAAAAGACTGCATGTTACTCGGCGTACAGGCCTATGTTAAATTTATGTAAAATCAGTTATATAAGACATTTTCATACTGGAAAATAAATTAATCTTGATTCATGTTTTGAAAATGGCAAAAAAAAACTTATATTTAGTAGGCCTAAGTAATAGTGTGGTGCCTCAAATGAATATGTCATGTCGCCTGAATGCCTCATTAGTTTCACTTTCATCAGTAAAACCAATAAGCCCTGGTAAAAAGGGTTTCAGTTCTGTTGAGAGAATAACACTGTTGAAAAATAAAATGAACGATGCATGAAGTTCAAATAACGACTTCATATTCAACTCAATCATGATTAAATGACGAATGATTTTGTTTTGTCTTCTCCGAAACCAGCTTGCTTACGTCAATAATCACTGCTCCAGCATTTGAAAATAAGATTTTCATGAATATCTCCTAAAAATAGATAGCTGTGAATTGCTAACGGCAGACTCATTGTGATCGTCGTAATTCGCGACATTTTCTGTGTTTACTTCAGAATCTGTAAATACCTATGCTATTATATAAGATATAATATCAATGTTGATTTTTAGGAAATGGAACGATCGATTTCCCAGAATTCCTGACGATGATGGCCAGGAAGATGAAGGAAACTGACTCTGAAGATGAAATCCGGGAAGCATTCCGTGTTTTCGACAAGGACGGCAATGGCTTTATCAGGCAAGGTTTCACCTAATCTAACCAAAAATGACACATTTACATTTTGTAAAATCACGACACTACAAATCATCTTCATTATACCATTATCATCATCATTTTATTACTGTTTACTTAGGCTTAATAATAATAATTATTATTAATTACATTTATAATATTTTTTCAAAGCCACCGCAATATTTCTACACTTGCATATACATAGTATATAAATAAATAATATTCCAAACTAACAATTGCCTTAAACAGATTTAAAAAATACACAACCCAAAAAAAAAAGTTCGGGAAAAATTCGATATTGCTATTTTAAGAATGAGGCTGTAGCAAAAAGGTAACATATAAAACTCGTTTACAAACTCTAACACGACTGTAGGAATATCAAACACAAGCGAGGATTGTATCATTCTACGTTGACATGCATCAAACAGGTGCACAAAGATTAGAACTGTAGAGTGAGTTAATATGAGGTAATATACATACACAAAACCACATCTCATTTTATAAAAACCTATGTGTAGGAACAATAACAAAAGACAACAGTAGTATCCAAAACAGTTCACAATGAAACCTGTTAAACTAGAAACTGAACAAATATGAGGCTACAATAAGTAAATTCAAACAAGCTGAATTCTGTATTATTATTTTATTTGATTTTACAGTGCTGCTGAACTTAGGCACGTGATGACAAATCTGGGAGAGAAGTTGACAGACGAAGAAGTCGACGAAATGATTCGAGAAGCCGACATCGACGGCGACGGCCAAGTTAATTACGAAGGTAAACTACTCTCAGTGATTGGGCAGACGCATCCAATGTCGCTCTCTCATTATAAATCGTTATGGTACTCACAGATTGATAATAACCTGAGAAACGCCTTTGTTGGATGGTACTCATAGAATCTATTAAAAATTCTGTTTTTTATGAAGGATATTTCGATTGGTGACCGTATGCTCGCTAATTCTTTCAGGTTTGGCATTTATTCCTATCTTGAAAAATTTCTAAGCTATATTACCGTATAAATATTACTTCAAACATGTCGGAATGCCGGGGCATTTATTGATGTCAAAACAAAAAAAAAACAAACAAAGATAAAAAAAAAACAAAAGGCCTATAAATAAGTTGTTTACATTTTTAAAAAAGTGCGTTCACATTGCAAGGTATTTATGACGGATGTTACGCGTGCGTGTTTCTGTACAGACGTTGCGTTCTCCTCCATATCATTAAGTAGGTTTACATTATCAATAGTGCGTTATGTCTTGCACTTTATCGGGATGTCCAATTATGTTGTTGTCTCTTTGTTGTACTTTAATGCGTTTATGTATGTAATGTGTTTATGGGAGTTTTTTTTAACATTTCTTAATATTATCACTTTAAATTATTATTATTATTATTATTATTATTATTATTATTATTATTATTATTATTATTATTATTATTGTTAATAATAATAATTATAATAATATAATGTTGAGAAGAGTTTTAATTGAGTATTTTAAATGTTTCATATATATTTGTATATTACTATTTATTATTCTGTACATTTCAAATTTTCCTTCAGTTTGCAATAAAGTTATTTTGAATCTTAGAATAGATAAAATGGCGGTATTGTGAGATTAAATGGATGTTGGTGGGAATATCTTATAACTATCGGCCTAACATCGCTCCAACCCCCACGGGATTCAACCACCTATGAAAACAGAGATTGTTTAGGCCCAATGACAGAAATCATTTCATGTGTAACTGTGAATACATATCAGAGGCCTAAATGACATTACGTACAGTATTGTCATGTAGATTTATTAATTAGTGGGTGAATAACTTACGTAACGTTTCTCACGAGGGGCCTTTGCTGTCATGGAAACCACACCCAGCGCACCACAATTGCACGTGTGCAGTATTGTTGTATTGATGGTCAAATTCTGAAGATGATTCATCAAATCGAATTTAATCAGAAACTGGCCTTCCAAATTGAAATGCATAAGTACAAAATATCGTAGTCTTAGTGAAATAACACTGATTTTCCATGGTCAAATCTCTTTGTCTGTAAGACTATGTTTCAACCAGCGAGTATACTGCATTCTTTTAATACATTTTATAGACCTAAATATAACTTGATGTCTTCTGTTATGATCAGTGTAGCCTGAACGTCATCAAATTCTAGCGGTGATTCGGAAGCAACTGAAATAACAAACACGTATTTTCGTTAGAAAATTTCAGTAATTATAGTAAAATCTCATGAGAATTTGCACTGTAGTAAAATATAGATTGGGTTTTGCATCGATGTTTTAATATAGCAATTGAAGTAGTGATGTTGTGTAGAGTGCAGTACATCTGCGATTAGCGAATATATTATTAAATTGTGATTGTTTACTGCGCAAAGGTGAGCTTATCAGCGTCGTATCAAGTTTGATTGTGTTCATTCTGAGTCACTGGAGCTAGATAGCAGATGATCAGGAATTTAACCAATTGATCGTGTATTGTTATAAATCATTCATAAAAATGTAAACATCAGAATCAAATATGCACGTTCCAACTGAATTGTTCAGCATGAACATAAACAAAAGATAGATAAAATGATAGATGAAATCTTTAGACGTCATTGACGCGTTCGCGCTCAAGTACCGTGTGACAATTCCGCTCAATAAGGACTAAAATTGGCATAAAGCCCTGACCTACCTGCTGAGTCTATATTAAACCAACTAGGCCTATAATGGTTGTGATGAACCAATATTACTGAGCTAATGCGTAGGCTTATGTGACGTACGGGTATACAGTCACTTTAATATAAGTTAAAGTTATTATTTATTTAACTACATACACATTTATTCTTAATTATACTTTATGTGCAAACGCTTTGAAATATATGGTGATTAGTTTTAAGGAAGTGGTAATAAACAACATAATATATTAAAATTTCATACAATTAACTACTCTCACTTGTTTTTATTTCAGAGTTTGTAAAGATGATGACGACCCAGTAAAAATGTAAATTGACACCAAACAGCTAAGCAAACATCCCACTATGTGATCATCAATGTTCGTGATGGCCAACGCTTCTTGTGATTCCTTTTTGGAGATGAGTGAGTGCCACTAAACCTGGCCGACAGAGGGCACTGTAAAGTCACGTCGCTCTCCAATACAATGGTGCTCGTTACGCTTGTTTCTTTTAATTAAAGTCACATGTGCTCACCAAACGACACCGAATAATAATTACTCATTAAGATTAACCGATTTCCACCGTGTATTATTATGTTAAAATATAATGCAAATTTATTTGAAAGGGTAATTATTACCCTTAAAGATGGAGAAATCGCCTTGATACATTGTTGCTTCCGAAAGAAATTGAAATTACGACAGATTTACCAAGAGAAATGAAAAAAATTGTAGTACAAAATTTGACTAATATTTACTAACTTAAACGGACCAATTTGGCCACATGACCAAATGCAAATTCGTAGTGTATTTCCATGTTTATAC